TCAGTTTACGTATTACTACCCGAACATTGTGGACACCTGCTGTCTAGACTTGATCTCACTCTCCTCTACTGTATATATTGGCCATCAAGTAATACTCCTTAGTCTGTACTCCTCCTGAAGATATGAATGCAACGCTTAGGAACTTCAGTTTCTTATTTTTCCTTGTGGTTATCATATATACTTGGATCAAGTGCATATATATATATATATATATATATATATATATATATATATATATATATATATATATATATATATATATATATATATATATATAAAACTTAACAATGGACTTGTTACGTAGAAAGCATGGTTTTCATAACGAAGAAACCAGAAACACAAACATCTTGACTTTTGTTTTCCTAGGCTCTTATGATGGAAAATAATTTCCGAAACGTTAGTGATTAAGAAACCAAGTTAGTCAAGATGTTTTGTGTTTCCTAGTTTGTCATCCTCATTATATATATATATATATATATATATATATATATATATATATATATATATATATATATATATATATATATATATATATATATATATATATATATATATATATATATATATACAAGTAAATCACTGTAGGTCCGTGATCAGGTACTGAAACCACAAGGAAAGAAAGAAACACAGTTCCCAAGCGTTTTCGTGTAATTCACATCTTCAGGGGAGTAGAGACTAGCTGAATTACACAGCGCTTGGAAACCACTTCACTAATTATATATATATATATATATATATATATATATATATATATATATATATATATATATATATATATATATATATATATGTAACAGGTCGGAATTGATGGAATTTATTTCTCACTTGACTTGGGGTTTATTATTGTTATTAGATGGTAACTGCAGTGGAAGCGCCCCGTGGAGAAAAAACCCGAACCAGCACAAGAACACTTCCATTTACTAACAAAAATTAATTCTCCGTGACCCGTGGAAGGATAGCACCTGTGACTGGGATGAATGACACGCACTGTAAAATTTAGACACTTCTATTCCCTCCAACACTACAGACACAATCAATAATGGTACACCGACATATGTGCACCTCTTAACCTGAACTTAAAACACTACTCTGGGAAATAAAAGTTATACATGATATTGAAATTATTAGAAACTCAGAAAATGCCTCATTAGACAACAATAAATTCAAAGTATTAAAAATATGTTGTATGCACACATGAACAGGCCTCAAGGGCTTTCAACAATATTATATCAATCACTGAGAAAATGGTATAAAATTTAAGAAATTATTAACTCCACCATGAATAGGCCTTAAAGGCACTCAACAAAATTATATTACCCCAACAGATGCACACCTCCTAACCTAACTCAAACACTACTCTGGGGAACAAAGGTTATACCTGAGATTGAAATTAAAAATAAATTTTAAATGCATTAAAGGAACTAAATCTCCGTATCACTTACAACAGAAAGGAGGAACCTCATCTGAAAAACAGTTCTCTCATTCTCTGGAATCCATTGGTGACACAACATTAAAAACAATAATATCAAAGTTATTTAAGAAATATTAAACTACACACAGCAAGACAATATCAGTGACTGAACAAATATGATCACTATTTTAAGAAGTTCCTGAGTCCACCAATACCCGTAAAAACCTACTCCCTAACCTAACACATATATTCCACCTGCACCCGTAGTTATTTAAGGCACAACCAACAGGCACCCGTAGTTAAGGCACAACCAAGCCTTTCTCAATCTTGGAAAATGTTCCTCTAAGCTCCACTAGACTCCTGGTCTCAGTGTGTGACCATTCATTCACTCAGCTGGCCTCATTTTACACGCAGTACATCCATGAAACGGAAGGGAGTGAGCCAATCAGACCTTGTTCAGTTGAGAGAAGCTTTAGCTTCCCGTTAGTAAAAGGTTTTTACTAAACTGCTTGAAGATATGTGATATTGTGCCCTGAGGTAGAAGAGATCTGGCAACCCCAGATGATTGTCAGTTATGCACCCAGACAGCTGGTTTCACTTCATAGATCCCTTGCTAACCCCTATAACCAGTGACAAGCCTGCACAGATCGTTCCAACTGCGACAATTGCTAATCATCAATCATCAACGGCAGTCTCAAATGGCAGTCATCAATCGCAGTCATCACTCAGAGTCATCACTCGCAGTCATTACTCTCAGTCAAGTGGGTTCTGACGAAAACCCTACAATGAACTCACTGTTAGCTATTGCTAATTTTATCACTGCCCTATCTAAACCCTGTCTGAGATCGAATGAGACTTACTTGTTATACTGCAATGTCGCAACACAGGTGACTAGACCACGTGACTGTTTTGTCCTGTCTGAGGCATAGACCGTCCTCTCTGTTTGAACGCTGTTGTCTGACTGAGAAACAGCCAGGCTCGTGCTTTCCCAAGCCTAGGCCTACGTGACATATTTTCCGCCTAACTAATAACTTTCTTGAGACACCTGTAACATATTTAGACTGAGAAACGATCTATAAAAATTTCAAATTTAATAATGTCAATTAATTTCATGATTCGCGTCCATATTAATTCGGTAAATTACATTTAATATCGTATAGGCCTAGTTCCAGTAACTCTCACTACGTGCGGGAGCCCTCCTCCCTCAGTTGACCTTGAATGTGTCTACAGTGTGAGTGGTATAGTTCAGCTGTTATTCTGACAAAAATTGAGGAATTCTTCAAATTGGGAGAGCAACACCAAAATTAGTCTGGCATTACATGTAACATGTTGCACACCAAGTGACAGCAGCCTTTTATATATTCTAGAGGAAAAAAAATATTCTGAAATGATTACAGTTCAGGGTGATGATGACCCCGGGATCTCTCCTCATGGATATGGGATATGTCTGAGAATCATCCACATTGTAAATACTGGTGAACTGCATTAGAGTTAGAGTGATGACGCTGGAGTATATGAGATCATTCACAGAAGGTGACTTATTACTAAACATTAATTACTTGACCAACTACAGCCATGGATATTTTTTGTGGATCAACATTTCTATGTTTGCTGGTTACCAGGGCATCTTCGAGAGATGTGGCTTTACTCAGCAAGCACCCACGACTCTACGAAGATTTTAAGAAGGAAAATTTGTTGTGCAAAAGTTTGATTGCACAGAAAAACGAAGCTGTGAAAAGTGATGTAGGCACCGTGGACCTAACGAAGGGTCCATCAGTTCTTATAAGGTGGATGATTGCTGGCCCAGGAGTGACAAGGATTGTGAAAGAATTTGTATAAACTCACGGAATGATGACATGAGCTACCATGAACAGATGTCAACAGGTTAGAAGTCATTTGAATGGAGAAAATAGGCAACCCATTCTAAGAGGAGTCAGCAGAATTGAACAACATAGCCACAAATCACATAAGACCCTAATCTTCAGTGAATTCCGTGAAGCATGCTCAAAGCTAGGCCAGTCACTGTATGATGCTCATGTAGAGGAGCGAATCCAGCTATGCACACAACCAGAGAATGTCACGATCAAAAGAAACAACCTGTCACCATTCAGTGCCTCCAGTACAACCTCCAGGAGCCGATCTCAACCTAAGCTCATTGTCTTAATGAGTGATTATAAACTAGACTTTACATAGGATACATATCAAGTAAGGAATGGTAATCTTGAGACTCTTTTCAGCCACGAAAATTAAGTTTATCTCACCCCCCCCCCCAATATACACTAATCAGGAATCTGAAATTATTCCATGACTCGAAACAGAACCATCACCCACTTGTAGTTTCCATTGTTGAGGTAAAGATACTGGAGGGACCTGCCATTATCAACGTGTTGACACAATGTAACTGAAAACATTTAGTGAGTATGCTTAACCTATTGTTGAGTCACACAGACAAGAACAAGCTAAAAGCCTGAAGAGACTTAACGTTGTCTGGGATGTATATTCAGAGCACTTGAGACATAAGGAGTCAGAGAGATAGGAGAGAGGTCACTCCAAGTAACTGGCAGTTTTTCTTGAGAATCGACGTTAACAAGATTGAGGGGTTTGTTCTCTAGGCCACTTACACTGCAGGCATCCAAGTTCAAGATGGTCCAGCCATAATCAGTACCTGCTATTATGACTTCATGGGTCCTCCATATGTGAACAAGATAGGCATAGAGATGACTTCTGAATATTTATCTTTTGAAAACTTCTGACTGGCCAACACGGTCATGAAGATAAACAAAACACACATAAACGAATAGCTTCATACAAAACCTAACCTAATATTACCTATCCTAAACTTCCCTAACATGTTTCAGGTATAATTTGGTAATATTATGATATTAAATTAAGTCTTAAATTAAACAGCAAATTCTAAATATACGAAAAAATTATCAATTAAATTATACAAATCATTTTTTCTTTACCTGAAAAAATTCCTATTGCTTTCTAGTGATTTATCTGTGATTATCCATACATATATATATATAAAATGTATATATATATATTTAAGTGGACGGGAAAAGTCATTTTAAACCCACAAATACAGTTTATATGTTATATGTAAATATTTTCTTGACCACACAAGTTACGGTACAGCCTCAGGCTCACCTTTGATCCCTTAATTCATCACCAAGGAGAGAGGAAAGGTTCGTGGAGTGTGAGTTAGCATGCTTGATTACCAGTCACTGAATACAGCGTTGTTGACGATCCCTGCAGGCGCCCACCACGTCGTGTGTGTTCTGTAACTGTCACTCTAATAAAGTCTATGCAACGTTGTACTTGAGACGAACACCTTTAAAAACACTATATCAGGCACCTGTAACAAGAACACTATATCAGGCACCTGTAACAAGAACACTATATCAGGCCCCTGTAACAAGAACACTATATCAGGCAACTGTAACAAGAACACTACCTGTATATGAGGCACCTGTAACAAGAACACTATATCAGGCACCTGTAACACGAACACTACATCAAACACCTGTGACAAGGACACTACGTCAGGCATCTCTAGCAAGAACACTATATCAGGCACCAGTAACAAGACCACTATATCAGGTACCTATAACAAGAACACTATATCAGGTACCTGTAACAAGACCACTATATCAGGTACCTATAACAAGAATACTATATCAGGCACCTGTAACAAGAACACTATAGCAGGTACCTGTAACAAGAACACTATATCAGGCCCCTGTAACAAGACCACTATATCAGGTACCTATAACAAGACCACTATATCAGGTACCTATAACAAGAACACTATATCAGGCACCAGTAACAAGAACACTATAGCAGGTACCTGTAACAAGAACACTATATCAGGTACCTATAACAAGAACACTATATCAGGTACCTGTAACAAGACCACTATATCAGGTACCTGTAACAAGAACACTATATCGGGTACCTATAACAAGAACACTATATCAGGTACCTGTAACAAGACCACTATATCAGGTACCTGTAACAAGAACACTATATCGGGTACCTGTAACAAGAACACTATATCAGGTACCTGTAACAAGAACACTATATCAGGTACCTGTAACAAGAACACTATATCGGGTACCTGTAACAAGAACACTATATCGGGTACCTGTAACAAGAACACTATAGCAGGTACCTGTAACAATAACACAATATCAGGCACTTGTAACAAGAACACAATATCGGGTACCTGTAACAAGAACACTATATCGGGTACCTGTAAGAAGAACACTATAGCAGGTACCTGTAACAAGAACACTATATCGGGTACCTGTAACAAGAACACTATAGCAGGTACCTGTAACAAGAACACTATATCGGGTACCTGTAACAAGCTAAGCTATGCATCAAACGGTAATATGTTATAGATACAAAAACACTGGAAATAAAAGTGTAAACAAGATTGTTTCTCTTCAGTTTTCCCATATGTGCTACAGTTTTTGTGTAATCCATGTCTGAATTCGGGGGAAACTTTCGTGTGTAGTTAAAAATTGACACTCGCGCAATGTTTTCAGCGAATAACTAAATAACGCCAAGTTTTTCATAAAAAATGCATATAGTTGAAATATGTAGAGTGTAAAATTCTCTATTGGTTCAGTGAAATATCCATGAAACAGTTTTTAAAAGCTTTTTCCGACTCATTTAATAAATCTGTAACACCAACTCATTTCCACACCATCTTTTCCACGTTTTTATAGTTAAAGATGATCCCATTAAGTATTTGAAAAGTGCTCTTCATTAGTCACAATAAGGTCATCAGTGGGATCATCTGCAGTTTCGAAATTCAGACAACTTTGGCCATTACAATTTCAGCACATTATAGAACAGGTTAAGCCAGATTTTACACAACCACATCGCTTCCCGTGCCCTAGTTTGCAGCCACATGAAATAAGTTTCCAAATATTTGTGGGGGCTGGTGCCTCAGTTGTGTAGACAGGTGACAGAGAATTGGATTTTTTTCCAGCCCCACAACTCAGGCTGAAGTGTTTCTCCTCGCCAAGTCTGAACTTGGTGTAAGACACGATAAGAAAGTTGCCTAGCTGCTGCAGAAGTGGGCGGAAGACTTGATAATAACACAGCTTTATTTGAGTGGCTGACAGATTTGTTAAAAAGAGTGAAATCTGTAATGATTGAGACTTGTTTCAGTGTGTGGGGCTTTGTACAGAGTGAGAATGAAACGCTCTCCAGCACCTGCAATTTTATCATGAATGGATTGAGGATTGTTGAAAACTGATACCATTTCGTGCAGAGAATCATCTTTGTTCAGGAGATTGATAGTTTTCATTTTTCCAAACCCTTAATGTGAGGACGTTGTGTCGCAACCACTTAAAGCATGAACTACCAAAACTGATTCTCTGCAGTTCTTTAGAATATTTGAGCCCTGTAAATCTCGAGAATTATAAAATCTTGACCTTAGGTTACCGTGAGCTTCTTTTAAAAACATAATATCCTTATCTTCTAAAATAAGAGCAATAACCAGAGCTAGAAGATCTATATCCTGTCCAACTACAACAACGGAGTTATGTTGATGAGATCCATTGATAGCACTTTGAACAATTAGTACATCAGCATCATCTGTGGCAATATGTGTCTCAATACCTTCTTTCTCAAATCTCTGTTTAAATTGCATAATTAGATTAATCAAGAATTTGTCCTTTGGTACAGTTAGAACTGTATTCTCATCGGACAAGATTTCAGCTGAAGTTCGTTTCAAAAGTCTCTTTTGACACACGATGTTCTTTGTACTAATTTCATTTGTTGAATAACCATCAAATATTACAGTTACATCTTCATCATAATGTTTTCTAATGAACTGGACATAAGAAGCATGAGCGTCCGCAACTGTGCCTTGTTTTGGCCAAACTACACGGTGGATTAAATTCCCTCCATCAGTGATATATTTGTATCCTGATAATTCAACTACTCGTTCCTCTACTGAGTGGTGTCAACCTCTATGATGTCCTCAGTGACGCTGACACTTGTATTCATGCAAGAATTAGCCTCACTCTTTTGGTGCGCTTTACCTTCATATCTCCAAAAGTGACTTTGCCTTTAATGGCTTCATCCTTCAATTTCTTGTTAACATGTAGAGCTTTGTAGCAGTTTATGTTTTCAGTTGTAACGAGACCACCGGACAACGAAACGATGAGAATGTTGCTGAAGCCATATAACAAACTTCTGAAGATGCTCTTCGTCCTTCTTAATTCCCGAGTCTCTCAATTCGACATGCTGAAAATTACTGCTGGTTTGAATCGCGCAAATCTCTTCCACATTCTCATATACGTGGTGAGCTACTGGCAAACTAAAGATCCATTTATTCAGAACACTCTCTGTGAAGCCTCATCCGCGAGTGGTTGTATGCCAAGTAGTTTCAATCAGGTGACAAAGCAGTTTTCTAAGTAATACCTGGAAAATAAATATTTTTAAGTTTATAAGGAAAAGCTTGAAAATTGGTACAAAAACTTGATTGTCAGTTATGCGAATAGAGAATGTTCTGCTCTATAATTTCAACTATATAAATTTTTAATGGAAGACTTGGCGTTTTTCAGTTATTTGCCGAAAACCTTGCGCGAGTAAAAAATTTTTCACTTCACGCGAAAAGCTTCCACAGAATTCAGACATGGATTATATAAAACCTGTAGCATCTATAGGAAAAATTAATAGAGACAATCCTATCTAAATCATATTTCCAGTATTTCTGTCTATATGGAATATTATCGTCTATTGCATAGCTTAGCCGTAAATGATAAAAGGTAATCGGAACCCCCATTTTTGGGGAGGAGGGCGGGCGTTTGGGTACAAAAAGGGGGAATGCCCCCCCCCCCCCACTCCAGACTGCAGGGAACTCTTTTTATCTTTATATCTCTATCGCCCTCAGGAGTATGTATGAAAAAATTCATCTTAAAATAATTTTTTTTGCCACCATTTGCCAATTGTCGAGATAATTTGATTGCACTGTCCATCAGGCACCTGTAACAAAGTGTGAGCTAATAATGTAATTAATGAAGTCGTCTGAGTGTGTGAGGAGGGTGTAGAGTGAGTGTGAGACACACACACACACACACACACACACACACACACACACCTATGATTGATGCTGGTGTGAGGGTCGGTCGACCACCATATCAGTGTTGACTCTCTCTCTCTCTCTCTCTCTCCTTTGATACGTCTTTTTGTCCCTCTCTCTCTCTCTGTTGTTTTTTAACACGTGAATCCGTTTCTTTCTTTCATTGTGATGGTCAACTGTATTAAACTGTAAGTTATCATCCTCCGTCCTTGTTGGGTTGAGGGTGAAACTTGTCTCTAACCTAACCTAACTTAACCTAACCAAAGCTATCCCAAAACTAACCTAACCTAACCTAACCCAATTCAACCTAATGTAACCAAATTTTATCTTTATGAACTAAGTGTGATAATTTAGGGTGTGTCATACGGAGGCGAATTTTTTTTTGAGTTTGAAAAATCGGCCCATGGTATTAATGATGTAGTTCTATGTGCAGAATCATGTGATATCTTCAGATTTGAAAAGTTTTCATTTTTTGCTAGGTAAATTTTAACTTGAAATCTTATGAAAATTCAGTATTCCCACCATTTTACCAACACCACTAAATAGCTTATTTAAAGTAAAGTAAATGTATCAGGTTAATTTATTAGGATGAAAATGATCCAGAATAGTGAAACGAATGATCTTGACACATTTATTAAATTTAATATTCCTTTAAGCTCAAAATCATCAAAATACAAAAATCGGTTTTTACTACTCACGACCCAGTGTTGCCACACCATAGAAACATGTCTTTCTTGCTTCTGTTTCTACTCATCACCTCCCTCTGCAGCCACTGGAAACTCGGATTACTTGGCCTTCCCTCCTCTCCTGGCTGTACCGCGGGACTGCAGCTAGCTCACTTACTGTACTGGCAGCTCTACTCTGGGTGTGCGAGGCCAGGCGAGAGACATGCATGGGGTTGTCCAGGAAAGCTCTGGCTTGAACATTGGTGAGGCTGCAGGTAGAGGGGAGCTCACTGCCAGCCTGGATGTTATCAGATCCTATGAGAGATCAGTGAGGTCTTGGCACCTAGATTGACTTCAGGAGTCTTCCTGACCTGAAGAATCATCACCAACTGATTCGTCATGTAGATCCTCTCATAAGTCTATCCAGATCTTTTTGACTGCCACTCTTCTCTCCTCTCATCTTTGCAAGCATTTGTCTGCAGAACTGCCTCGAGATGAGCATACAGGAAGATCTCCTCACAGTCTGCTCCACAATCTGAACAACCTTCCTTGGCTGACTCCTCCACAGGCTCAGCTGGAAGAACATACCTCGGACAGCGAACAGTGGCTTGACCTTGGTGTTGAACCAATTTGGCAAGTAGACACTCTGCGGCGAATTGGACAATAGAGTCTCAGGTTGTGAAGCTGGTTCCCTTTCAGTTTAGCAATGAGCGACCCAAATTCTGAAGAAACCTGAGGCCGTTGTGAGCCACCTAGAATGTGAGACTGGACCTACTATCTGCAGGTAAGAAACAGTCTATCAGGCATGACCCCAGTTTTGATATTTTTTAAATCCACATGTAACCATAATACTGGTCAGTACTCAGGTTGTCAATGACAGTAATTACCAGCTCAACGAGTGGAGGAGCCAACTGTATGATTTTTTCAAAGCTCCCGGTTATTTCTAACTCAGTGGCGAATTAAGCATCACACCAAGAGGACCAGACCATCTGTTGTTTGAAAAGAATTACCATCAGCTCCTGGATCAGATGTCTGAGTGGCAACTCGTTGGTGTGGGAGTCACAAACAATCCAGACCAACTTCCTCCCAATCTTCAGCTCTATCACTGTATGACCCCCCTTGCCACCTGTGATGGGTATTTGGGTGCCGCCCTCGATGGCCCTGCAGGGTCTGGTCTCACGTTCTCTCTCTGAGCCAGTTCACAATGTTATCTGCCACTTTTCTCAGCTGGTTTTCCTGATGTCATCTTTCTTTCTGGAGTGAAATACTTTTAAATAGCACTTCCCTCTGGTTCACTGCAGCAGGAGTAGTGTTCCTCCTTCACCATGGCAGGGGCGCAGCTTGTCCAGAATCTCCAACTTTCATGAACACTTGAGTGTCATCCCTTCTCCCACATCAGAACAGCAGGTGATTCCATTTTCTCTTTATCCCTTATCAAACTCCTCTTCTACCAAGTTACTGACAAGTTTCTCTGAGCTCCTCCGCACTTTGTTATGAACTTCACCTGGTGAACTTTATCATCAGGTGTTGTCGTCAACCACCATCAACCCAGGCAGCTGTTGCTATCTCTGCAGTTTCTCTGAGACCGGTGTGGTATACGCATGCTGGCCCAGAGCTATACTCGAGATGCTCAAGC